ACGAGCCAGAGGTGCAGACAAAATTAGGCTATAGACACACAGTACACAGTAGTCTCAACTCTTAATAACACAAATGCACCAAGACAGACACAAATGCGTGCAAGCACACAGACATGGAGCCTCAGGGACAGATATGTCCTTTGAACAAAGTATCCATGAAAAATTATGAGTTTCTTCTGATTTGCATTTAAGACGCAGGCAATTCAAAGTCTGATGACCCAGTTACCCTTAAGTTAGTTAATGAAAATAAACTGGTAATTGAAGTCCTTAAACTAGTTGTTAAAGGAGAGTGGCTGTTGAAGAAAATGGCACATTTCCAGCAACATGATGTCCCAGGGGTAGCAGCATGACCAGATGAAATGAGATGATAAACACCAAGTGCCTGTAGGGAGAAGCATCACTGTGTGCATCCATGTTTATCTACAGACTGTGTGTGGTTGTTCTCTACTTGCTTTCCCCAAGATTCAGCCTTCCATTGCTCTCGCAGCTCCCTGTGGGTGAATGTGCGGTATCCCCGTGAACTCCCTTGCGTTCCCATGCTTCAGTTGACGCTCTTTGACATGGCTAACGTAAACAGATGATGCACTGTGACAGGAAGTGGCCAACTTCTGTGGGACTGATGGAAAATAAGCTGTTTGCCTCTGCGACAGAGAACAGTGAGAAGGTCACGGTGAAGCGGGAAACGGCAAAGAATCTGTCCCAGGCAAGCGTGTGTATGGGGATGTTGGGGATCGAAAAAAACTGCATGGACAATTTCCAACAGTCAGGGTTTCACAGCTATCTTCACCTAGTTGACTTCATGGGTCTAACCTTAGTGACCTGCAGTACCACCTGGACAATCACTGGCAGTGGAGAAAGCTCATATCTAACCAACACAGAGGGAAGGACAGGTGCATGAATATTAGAGAGAGCGAGTGAGGGAGAGGTGCACAACTTTGGAATCTACAATAATCATTTAAAACCCCTTACTGACAGAAACAAAGAATACCAAAAAAAATTGCTATGTACATGTAAAGTTCACTTTATGGGAACTTGATTCAGCACCAAAACACAAGCAATAAAGTAGAAATACATGTATTCTTTTTAACGAGTAAGTGAATGCTAAATATTGGAAGGAGGCTATGCACAGCTGCACTGGGCTCTACAGATTGAAAGGCACAAGTATGTTCCACCTCAGACCTCAACTATCAAACTGCTGAAGACCACAGACGCACACATCAGATCCAACTGAATTACTGGACTGTGTATAACAAACTAACCAAACAAGTCACCACTGTCGCTCCTTCTTTTGGATGAAGAAATATCGTATTAGCATGATTTGAACAGTCACAATCAGACATCTAATTGTGTTATGACCACATAATAAAACAAATACCAACATGCTGGCCTGTCACCATGACCATTATGACTACAAGATTACAGCTGATCCCAGTGCTGTGTAGGTGGAGAACCGATATAATTTGTGTTGCCATGTATATAACATCTGATATAGAATAAAGTCTCATTTTTTATTTTACCTTTCTCACTTTCAGCTCTGGCAGTCAGTGTGATTAATGGAGCAGCTCAGATATTGCTGAAATGTAGTTTTAAGTTAATTAACAAGCAGCAGACGTCAAATCCTGTGTCAGTGGTCAAACACTATGACACACTACACAGGATAAAACATGCAACCATCCTGCCTGATGCTCATTTTTGTTCATAACATCCCACGTCTGTCAGGTCAGGCCATTATCCACCTGATATAGTCGGGTCTGTCTGCATTAAACAGAGATTGATAGGCGACAGCTGCATTAGACGATACCAACATGCTGATGTCAAATGTGAGCAGTGACATCAAGAGAAGGAATGATGCCTTCTAGTTACGGAAGATGTCGGATGTTTTATCCGTTGCTCAGTTCTAGTTTATATTTGTATTGTCGAGATGGCGCAATAGTTATTTCATGATGATGCAAAAACTAATAATTGACAGAAACCATATTACAAGGGGGACAAAAACGTTGCCATGTTCAGGAAATGAAAATAGTGTTACACAATTTTTCTTATGCAATATTTGCTCCTCACCGGTCCTTATACCTTTATTCCTACATTACATTTCCTGTTTTGTTCCACTTTTTAATGACAGTGTAACACATTATTATTTACAAGTGCAACATAATTGAAAAATGATTACATAACACTTTGAGGGCTGTTATCTATTGTTTACCCTAATTAACTTTAATTTTACAGATGCCGCCGAAAACCCTTACACAATATTCTGCATTGAATATCATACAAATTAATCCACTTCAGCACTAATGGAGCTGCACAGGGATGGAAGAGGATACATTTACATTTCCTCTAATACTGGGGTTGCATATTAACTTTAACTGCTGCTCATTCATCCCAAGGAGTGCTTAACATAGAAGGGGGTGAAGATGGACTCCTTTTCATCCGTTTCTTTGTTGAACCACTTTCATCTCTAACCAAAGCAGACACCCCTGTGGTCAAAACCCAGGTAAAAACCAGAGGATCTCTTTTTACCTTCATCTTCTATTCAGTCTCCTGCTTGTCCAGCATCCTTCGATGATCATTTAGGAAGTGAATGAAAGAGCCAAATATTGGAAGAATGAAAAAAAAAAATTAAAAAATGGAACAAAGCAGGAGCAGCTCAGGAGACATAATTTATCTTTCTCATTTTCAATACACCTGCCCAGGTCCATGTAAGGTTGAACCAGGAGCTCCTCAGGGTTTGCAAAATAGCTATTTTAAATAGATCAAGTGACAGCAGACCAGTACAACATCTGAAACCAGCCACTTCATTAGTGCTGGACTAGCTCTGTTCTGGAGTAATCTGGAGCAAATCACAGAGGCAGCAAATGGAAATGTAGGATGCCTGCTGCAGGGACAAGATAAGTCTGTGTACTGGGTCCTTTTGGCCTGCTAGCTTCCACCCTACTACTCCACGGTTTTCTGCTGATGTTTGACATGCAACGCACGACCATGAAGGCACATCTGCATCTTCTTTATCTGATAAGCCCAGGCTAGAGGTTCCTCTTCACAAACACACCACACACACTGTGCCATGGACAAATACAGGCACGTAGAGTGAAAGAGGAAAAAAACCGTAAAGGATATCAAATAGTAGAATCTGGGAACGGAGAGAAAAAGATGGATGAAATATTAATGAGAATGAAATATTAACATCATTCTTCTACTGAACTCTGAAGTTTAGGGGATGCAGTGTTTTTGCAGCAGCATATTTACAACTCTTCAAACTAGAAGGATACCTGAACAGCCATGAGAAGGCTATCAAAGGGTCAGTCCCGTCTTTTCATATGCGCGTCCACGTTCCACTCTCATCAGGTTGCTTCTTATGAAACATACAGTGCCTTGTGTTGCAGGCAGTGATAGAGAAGCTGTGTTGTATTGATGTGAAGTGTAATTATAGTCTGTTAGCTGTGTAGGAAGCAGGTAGTTGTGGCACACATACAGTATATTAAGGTACACAAATATGCAATCCTATGGGCACAAACACCCACTCTTACTGATAAGGAGATATGTATTTATGAGACCAAAACATACTACAACAACTACCTACACATCAACCTCAGATAAAAGCTCATTTATTCCACCATCTGTCAAACCTCACATCTTTCTCCATCCAAACACACACAGTCCTTCTTGACACGCATGCCAAGCTCAATCATGCAAAGTGAAGATCTAGTGAGAATTAGAGTGAATGATAGGTTTACAAATGAGCAAGTATCTGTGCTTCTTAATCATCCAATAAACAGTGGTCGCAGTGTGTCGAATGGAAAGAAAACATGTACCTCTGCATGATCAAAGGAATCCAAGACTCTCAATAATACCAAATTATAATTGAGATTTTTGTTGTGATCTTCAATTTGTTCTGAATTTAAGGGTTCCCACTGGTACAGTAACAGGGAAGAGATGCCATCAAGAAACTCAGACTGTAGAGCTTATCATGCCATTTCCATCGCACGTGATCCAAAAGCAACAGCTAGCAATAAGGGCTGCAATAATTATTTTGATTGATTTTTTTTTAAGTCAACAAAATGTCATAAACCTCTGAGAAATCAAAAGGACATCTTCACACTGCTTGTTTTGTCTAACCAACAAATCTGAAAACCAGCTTAAAATGCTTTGAAAACGAAGTAAAATAATTATCTGACAAAGTGCAATTATTAAACTGTCATCATTAGGATAACAATAGTGGATGTGCTTTCTGTGGGCTTTAATAATTAGTTCATCAGGTAGCCGTGCCAGCGCAATACATGCCCCCCTCTCTCTCTTTACTGGAGGCTGTCAGGTGCCAGGATGCCCTCTGGCAATAATTGCTCCAGATAAACGAGCCCTGACAAAGGAATAGAGGGTGGTCAACCTTGTACTGATCTGATAGAGCAACTTAATTGAAACTATCAATCACAGCCACTATCCTCCATCTCTTCTTTTCTGACTTTCATTCTTTCCTACATAATTTCTCCCACCCACAGCCTTAAGAATTTATCTCCCCTCTGTCAGTATTGCGGCCTTTCGTGTTCAGTTGCACATGCGTAGTAAGATCTATGCATATGCATAAAATCAGCACACACAAAAAATTGCTTCTCTCTGCTGGTTCTCCATCCTCATCATTCCTCTTACAGGGCACAAACATATTACTTGTTCATTACATCAAGACAGAACTAATTAATACATCATCCTAGCATTTTCCATCAACAGTCTACCCATCCAACTCTGCAGCAGGTGGTGTGTTTAGTTCACTGGCATTTAAAGTTCTTGTACAAAACAATAGTAGAATCTTTTTTCCCCCAAATCACTACAGCGCCACATGGGATGTCACAGTTACTGGCAGGGAAGAGAGAACAGAATCAGAACAAAAGGAAATACCTCTCCTCGCTGGAGAGGAAAGAGTTAAGCCTATTACAGAAGACCAATCAGGATTGGGGGAGCACTGCAAACCTCCGCAGTAAGAGAGAGAGGGAACGACGGTGTGAGGGAGAGGGAGGAGAGCAGAGCGGGAGATAGAGAAAGATACCAGGAGAGTGATGGTCTGCACTCTTATCCAAACAGGGAGAGCAACAGAGAGTTGGCAAGATGAGCAGCACACCACTAAACATGGATGGATAAGAGAAGAAGGGAAACAAAGGAAGGAAAGAAAAATCCTACCTATATCTCTGTCAGGATAACCTCTGTGGACTTATTCTTCTCTGTCTGAGACCCAAAAAGACCATCTGTCACTAGTGTGACCCTTGTATATTCACCAGTATTTAACGCTAATTGGATTATTGCTTTATAGAGCACAAGATAAACCAGCAATTTGCCTCAGTCGACCTAGACTGTTGTAGAGGTGGAAGGAGAGGGGACAGCGTGGTGAATGGACCAGCTCCGGAGCATCTGTGTTTACCCTGCATGGTGAGCTGTGCTGTGTTTTGATGGGGCACTCTACTTATTGGTTTGATTTACAGCACTCAGCTGAGTAGAGCGTATGTGACAGCAGAGGAAACTCAGTGCCAAACATCTCTGTCTCCATAACAAAACAAATGAACAGGGTTAGAAATTAATGATATCATTTCCTGATTAATTTCAGTTACAATGCACAGTTGAAAGACCTTCATCCACAAACAGTGGTTGTAAAACATACTGCAACAGAAACTGATTAAAATGCATTCAGTTTTGTAATTCCAAATAGCTGCTGCTGAAAACATCACATTCTAAAAGGCTTTATATGATTTCTTTCTACTTATATGTCTGTATACTCTCATAATGGAGGTACATCTGTTTGTGTCTTACTGCCACACACACACACACACACACACACACACACACACACACACACACACACACACACACACTATACATATGTACTCTCTTTTACTCCAAATGTCCATACTCTATTATTTAAAAACTTGATAGGTATTGCACGTTAAAACTGTGCATGTTTATAATATTCATGATCATCTCTCTTGCCTGGTATAGAAGCATGGCACTCATTGCTCATTTCTGCTGCCATTGTGGCATAGTGAAGTACTGAAGAAGTCAAACAACCTCAAATAATGACCGGCGAGATTACACAGATCATATATAGTGACAAGCTCGCCAAGGAATCACACCGCTCTAAAGCTCTAGGCAAGTCTTTCCTATCATGAAAATTTTATGACCATTTCAGCACCACTGTGGCTGTGCAAGTGTAGCGCAATAATTTACAATAAGCATTTTCTTGTACTAATTTATACTATCAACAAGAATAACAAAATATTACTATAGTTAATACTCCATCTGAAAATGTGGGCTGGGATGTAAAATAAAATAATTGTTGTATACGCTCTTTATTAGTACTACTGTGATGCTAATTCAATAGCAAAGGTGTAAAGTGCATCAGGGTGCAGTGGTTAGCACCATTGCCTCACAGCAAGAAGGCTGATGCACTTCGGGCCCCACCCGGGACCTTTCTGTGTGGAGACTGCATGTTGTCACTGTGCTTGCCAGGGTTCTCTCCGGGTACTCCGGGTTCCTCCCGCAGTCCAAAGACAGGCAGCTTAGGTTGATTGGTGTCTCTAAATTGCCCATAGGAGTGTGTGTGTGGTTGTTCGTCTATGTGTTAGCCCTGCGATGGATTGGCGACCTGTCCAGGGTGTACCCTGCCTTCGCCCGATTGCCGGCCGGGATTGGCTCCGGCCCCCCCGTGACCCCGTTCAGGGATTAAGCGGTAGAAGATGAATGAATGAATGAATGAATGAATAAAGTGCATCAGTCGATGCACAGGAACACAGTAAGTCATCACAGGCTTGTTGCTATGCTAATAAGCATTTTTTTGTTGCCTCTCTACTGAGGATATATTTATTTTCTCCAATGCATCCCCCACACTTCCCTCTCCTACTCTTCCTACTCTCTCTTCTATCACCCTATCCTTTCTCTCTTCAGGTTAATGCAAAAAAAGATGTGGGACTAAAGGGCAGACAGATGATGCTGTATGCAGCTCCTGCTTCTTGAAGTCCAATTATTGTCTGGAAATCCTTTTGCAAATCTACAAAGACGGC